AATAAAAAAATTTAGAAGTTTTATTTTTTTTTAAAAATTCAAAACGATTGAAAAGAATTTAAATTTTAAACAAATAACATAAAAGAGCCGATCCTTTTAGGCCCTGAGCCCATACGTCTGAGGGCCGGGTTTTAATAACATAATAATTTTAAGATATGTGGGCTTTAAAGTGTTGGTCCTTTTAAGCCCTAGCCCTTCAAAGGCTAACCTTTTAGGGCTAGGTCGGCCCCTATTGATAGTTCTACTAACAAAAAATTTACAGGACTCGTGATTTTAACGAAACAAATTTAAGTAATTTAATTAAGAAAATAGATATAAATAACAAATTAAAGGAAAGTATAGGTAATTGCAAAATATTTTTTCTTCTAAAATTTATAACTTGGTTTACTTCATAGTTTAAAGATGTTAGTATTTATAGGGATCATAAAAAGCACAGTTTCAAAAAATTACGTGTAATTATGTGTTCTTACTTAAATTATAAGCTTCGTGAAGATATTTTTGTTTTTCAAATTTTGTACAATTAATTTTTGTGAGCTTGAATTTTTAGTCGTCATTTTCCTTAATCTATAATAAAAATATTTATTTCAATAAACATTAAATTTAAAAATTATTTTGATGAATTCAATTCGTCGAAGCTATAATTATAGTTTCCTTGCGCAGCTGAACTTTTTAGTTTTTGAGAGTGCAGCCTCTCGGAATAATATTTGCAAATTCATTTTGTGTCCATATATTTTTAAATATTTCTTAATTTAATTATTTTAAATCAAATATTAAAAAATAATCACAAGCTTAATAGTAGCATTATATATTATTTAAGTGCTTTGTCCACATTTTAAAATTATTACAGGAGAACGTGGAAAGACACCAGGACAGGAAAGTAACTAATATAGTATTAATAGTCATGCACTCATGCTTAACTTTATAATAATATTTTTCATGCTCAATATTAAAATTTAGGCTAAATTATATGTAGTTTTTAATCAACTTTATTGCATATATTAATAACCTTTAGAACTTTTAAAATTTTAGTTGGCCGGGGAATTTAACGCTTTCTATGCCCAAACGGAGATCGAACCCCTGACCTTGATTAAGAGAATATGAGCCCTTACCACTCAACCACACACCCTAGTTATTAAAAGAACAGTTTTCGTATGACCAGTAATAGAATATTAAAGTTAGCCAAAAAAAAAAAGTAACAAAAACATAAAACTGCCTACCGAAGAAACTGGGATTATTATTAATACAAAAATGAACATTTGAGAAGGATTTAAACATTCGAAGAATATTTTCTTACTATTAGAGTACCAGCTTTGTTTATAATTTATATATACATAATCTAAAATTTAAAGTGTTATTTGTGTATCAGTCAAAATTTGAGAATAGAAAACTAAAATTTAAAATGCATACAATTGATGGTTAATGTTTACGGGTACAAATTTAAAAATTTAGGAAGTTGAATATATAATTGACTGTAATGAGGCCTTAAGCATTTAAAAAAAAAAAAGATAAGGTGTTCTTTTGTATGTTTTTCCCTGAATATGAAGAACAATTAAAATTGCAGTTTAGGATTTTGTGTTGACGATATCATATTAAAGAGCGTTTTAAATTTAGAAATCAATTAAAAATAGTCTTACAATAAAAATGATCCGAAATTGACTAAACAGTAAACAGTTCGAATAAACATTTTTAATATAAAATTTTAAAATTATTACTAACGAAAAAAATTTAGGTCAAACTGCTTATATCCATTACACCAAGCTTTTCAATCACATGTGGCAATGTATCTTCTTTTGTTTCATATAGATTTATAATTAAATGTGATTAAATATTAATATTTTAAAAACAGGACACATGGTCATATATGATTAGAATACTTGACATAATAAATTTAAGTAACTTGATATTAATATAGTCATTAATTTTAACTAAAATTTTGAATTATACTTTTTCTTTTTCTCTTTCTTTAATTGTTTTATTTTATAACCCTTTGGCCACCAGATGATCAGTGCTTTTTATAGATCTTTTTATATATTCGAGTAATCCACTAATTTGAATCGAGGCTTTGTCATAATGATGCCTCTTCTGAGAAATCGTTTTTACCAGGAGGGTATTTATACTTAGTTCGTATCCACCATTAAACCAAATAGCTCAGATTCTCCTTCTTTAATTGTGCCAGAAAGTAGAGTGGAACTTAACTTGGGAGACTAGGGGATGTATAAAAACAAAAGAAAAGAAAAAAGGGTTCAACCTCTACCGTAAAAGACAAACGACGTTGTGGTCTTTATAGAAACACTTTTTTATTTGGCCTGTTTCACAACAATACCTTTTTAATATGCCACAGACTGGTTTGTGGAATCTCATGTGCTTGGGGAAGGCAAGACTTAGCATTATTGATCATCCTCTACTGCTACTTGTTTTCAACAAAATATATTGTTGTTCCTCCTATAATATTTTCTAGTTTTTGCTCACTTTTTAAAAAAATTAGGTTAATTCTTAAAATTAAATTCTGTCAACCACTTTCTTAAAATTTATAATTCTTTCGTTTGATATAAAAATTTGATATTAAGAAAATTAATTAAATTGGTTATTTGTTACTAATGTGAGTTGGTCTCTCTAAACTATCATCTTTAATCATATGCATTAGAATATCCTTTGATAAGAATTTCTAACAATCAATAGAGATATTTTAGAGAAAAAGAAAGACAAAATAAATTAAAATTATATATTTAGAACCAAATTTAACTTCTTAGCTAGCTCTTGTATTATGAATAAGATGTTATATATTAATAAACTTGTACTTCTATACGAAAAATACAGACGGGGTGTCAGCTGCCCTCAATTTTTAGGCGCTTCCCAACATTTTTGAGTTTCTTTTCATCATTAGATTTTACCTAAAACACGTGACATTTTGATAAGTTAAGAGTAAAAAATTGGTTTAGTTTTAAAATTTTTTTAATTTTTCAAATATTTAATACTCTAGATTAAAAAAAAACTAAAACATGTAGAGTATTAAATTTTGTTTTTGGTCAAATTTTAGTCTATTTGTCTCCCAAATTTATAATTTATTATCTAAGGTATCTATATTCATTACACATTAAGAATTTCTATTCAAAGATAATCATGATTGCAATCTTTTTATTATATCAAAATGAGTGAAAGCTGAATTTTGTTTTTATTTTTGGCTTAAAAAAGATTCGTTTAAATGCCTTATAATTATTGTATCTGTACATTAAGAAACATGTTTCAAAGCAAAAGAGGGACCACGAGTGGCTGTTAAGGGAGGAAAGTGAAGCAGTATAGGTCGGTACTATCATATCGTACTCATAATAAAATCTCATTTTAATGAGACACGCAAGTCAACAAATTGGTATTGACATGGAATAACGTTAAAATTAAAATATGCGATATTTAATGGTCTAAACAAATTCAACAAATTGTTATCATGATAGGATGCAAGATTACAAGTTATCACAAAAATGAATTTCCCTTGTTCCGTTAAAATTATCCTTCAATAGTTTGAAGTTATGCATTGTCGTGTAGGGCCAGGGAGCAACTTAGGAGGGGGAAAAAACAGAATTGTTAGTTAAAAACATACTATTTTTATCCTTAATATAAGAATTAGATGACCAATTAGAGTAGATTAAAAAAATTTGTTATGTGATTTATTTGTAACGTATTATTTGATAGAACCTTTAATATGTATAATTACTACAAAGATTATTTTAAAAAAATAGATAAATATGAGAGATAAAATGGATTGAAGTTTTATATTTATGACCAAATTGAATATTAAACTAACTCATATATTAAGAATCGAAAGTACTTATATTATACTTTATTGGTATAATATTTTATAAAAATTAAATTTTTAGTTTTAGTTTTATATTAGGGTTAATATAATGTTTAGCCCTTATAGTTTTCTCATTGGTTTTAATCTTTATAATTTCCAATTAAAAGTTTTGGTTCTTCAATATAGAATATTTTATAAAAATTAAATTGTTACTTTTAGTTTTATATTAGGCTTAATATAATGTTTACCCCTTATAGTTTTCTCATTGGTTTTTAATCTTTATAATTTTCAATCAAAGGTTTTGGTCCTTTAAAGTTCTTTCAGTTTAAAATTTTAGTCCTTGTGTTTTAATTACTTAAGTCATTTTGCCTATTAAAGAACAAAAATCTATTGTTTGAAGTTATATAGGACAAAATCAAAATGAAAACAACCTATAAGAGCTAAATATTGTATTAACTCTTCATATTATTTCATTAAAATTTATACTACCTCTAATATGAGAGCTAGTTAGATATTCAATTTGATTCTTAATATAAGATCTCAATTTATTTTGTTTTGAATATTTATTCATTTCACCCCAAGTAATTCTCATGATGATTGTATATGTTAAAGAGTCTCCGTCAAGGAGTAGTTTCAATACACATGATTAAAAAATATTTTAGAAAAAATAATACCAATTTGTTATGAATAATTAATTTAACTTTTTTTAATATTAATAAATCAATTATCTAAGTCTTCTATTAATGATAAAAAGTATTATTATCTTCAATTCTAAATATAAAAACTAATTTGTAATGTGATTTATACTGGAAACTAGCTTTTATATATCCTATTGAAAGTGGAATTGTTTTTAATTCTTTTTGTTTTTGCAGACGCAAGTGCATACCTACCGTGAAAGAGCTCCAAATACCACAGTCCGTTGCGAGGTGGGCGTAGGGATATGATACTTGTAAACCCCATAACTTCTTAACACTTTGTACATTGCTCGGCATATTAATTGAAAAATCACATAGGCAAAATCACACTTTCGCTTACTTTAATGGCCTCTCCTATGTGGGTAGCGGCTATAAAGAAGCTGGGGTCCACTGTTAATTATTTTAAATTTTTTTTTTTTTTCAATTGTTGTATTCTGTGCAATGTGCATGCGTTCTTGTGAAGTTGTCATGTCAACACTCATACAGTCAGATTCACTCACAAGCTGGATGCCAGAAACCAAAAAACACGAAGAATCACAGTGAAAAAAAAGGTTCATTATTATGTATTGAATGGCGCAGACTGTGTCAACTTCTTCACCTTGTTCCCTCGTGAACCCACTTTGTGGCTTATTACTCACATAACCATCCATTTTTCTTCTATCCACTGGAACAAGACTAAGCTAGAGATGGCGATGGCGATGGCGAAACAGCTTTGCCATTTTCACCATTTCTTCTTCGTTTTGCTCTTCTTTCTTGCCACCCGCCGTACACATCAGTTACAACATTCTCAGTCTTATGCCCTTCTGAAATTCCAGAAGCTTCTGGGGTACCCATCAGCTCTAAGCAGCTTGAGAAGTACGAGAGATTTCTGCAACATCGAGCCCACCAGCTATTTGACAATAGTCTGCTATGAGGACAATGTAACGCAGCTTCATGTTGTTGGTGATAGTGGGCTTTCTCCTTTGCCTCAAAATTTCTCTTCAGACTCTCTGTTTGCCACTTTGGGCACTCTTTCGAGCTTGAAAGTACTTTCTCTGGTTTCTATGGGTGTCTGGGGTCCCATACCTGAAAGCATTTCTCAACTGTCTTCTCTGGAGATTCTCAACATTAGCTCAAATCATTTTAGTGGAGCCATCCCAAACCAACTTTCTCTGTTGAAGAATCTGCAATCGTTGGTTCTTGGTGATAACGATTTCACAGGTGAAATTCCCACGTGGATAGGTTCGCTTCAAGGTTTAGCTGTGCTGAGTATGAGAAGAAATTTTCTTAGTGGGTCTGTACCAACTTCAGTTAATGATCTCCAAACTCTGAGGGTGCTGGATCTATCAAATAATCATTTACAAGGTGAACTGCCCGGCCTTAGTAATTTGAAAAATTTACAAGTTCTTAATCTGGAAAACAACACACTGGGACCCCATTTTCCTTCTCTACCCACCAAGTTAGTTTCATTAGTGCTTAGAAATAACAGCTTCCGGTCTGGTATACCTTCAAACTTAAGCTCTTACTACCAGCTTCAAAAGCTGGACCTTTCATTAAATGGATTTGTGGGACCATTCATACCGTCTTTACTTTCTCTGCCTTCCATCAAATACCTGGATGTTTCAACAAATAAATTTACTGGGATGCTATTCAGTAATTATTCTTGCAATTCTAATATCCTTTTTGTGAATCTATCCTCAAATCTCTTGAAAGGAGAACTTCCCAGTTGTTTGAAAGCAGAGAACGAAGTGGTTGCTTTGTATGCTAGGAATTGTTTTTCAAATGAGGATCAACATCAGCACCCTCCCACCTTCTGTCAAACTGAGGCTCTGGCAGTGAATGTAATGCCTCATGAACAGAAGCAGAGAAAAAGAACAACTGGTAAAGCGGTTCTTGTATCAAGCATGGGAGGAATTGTTGGAGGAGCCCTTGTTTTTGGAGTGGTTTTTTTGGTCGTTGCACGAGTAAACAAAAAGGGCTCTGTGAAAGCACCTGAAGGATCAACATTGGAGCAAGTTAAAAGCCAGATGAGTGAAAAGGATGATGAAGCTAAAACTCCCAGAACTGTTCTATCAGTAATGGAGAATATCATCAGCCGAGTCCCTAAGCCTAACAAGGAATCTGTGAGAACAATTGCACGATCGATGATGGAGCAAGTTGTTAACAGGGTTCATCACAGACATGTGAGACCTGCAAGGTCCATAGTAGAGCACGCCTCATCAGTGAACACAGCAAAACTGCTCACGGATGCAAGTAAATATATAAATTCTGTCTTTGTTCACAAGTACACCATGTTAACTTTCTATGCAATTTCTTGATTACATGAATTCTATGAAGAAATTTCTTGATTACAGCTTCGTTTTCTTGAGTAATTAGAACAAAAAAGGTGAAATAACAATTAAACAAGGAAATAGGACATTGTAATTCAAAACCCACTTTCATGTTAAGTATGAACCAAACAAGATATTCTCACAAAGCATTGTTCGCTTGCAGGGTATATCTCCCAAACGATGAAGATGGGTACCAGCCTTCCTGCTTATAGGACGTTTGCTTTGGATGAACTCAAGGAGGCCACAAACAATTTTGATGCATCATGTTTTATAAGTGAAGGTGCGCGTGGTCAGGTATGAATTTTTAGTCTTTAATTGGTCATATCATATTAATGCTGGAGATGCTCCAGAGGTAAAGACCATGAATTTCATCGCTCAAATTCATGAATTTTGATGGAAAGCTTGCTAAATAAATGCTAAATGCTCAATCTGTGTCTTTGAATCTGGTCCTTTTGGAACTCTAACATGATTTATGCTTCAAAGTGATACAAGCTTGGAAAGATATTTTTGGAATGGGATAAGTTTTATGTGGACTATCTTAGAGCTTTGAATATGGTAAGTTTAAGAGCTAAACCTCATTTATCACCAGATGCAAAATTTCAATTTAGCAATCATGCAAATAATGGGATGCTGATACTTTCCTAGTGGACAACAACACGGATATGCACAGCTTTGCATTGCTTAATTGTCATTCACACTGCTACTTATAAATAGTTCAGACTGTCTATAGCAGCCATATACCCTTAAACTTATGACTCACAAAGTTTTGATGTGCTTCAACTATGGTGTCAGATCTACAAAGGGTCACTCTCTGATGGAACTCAGATTGCTGTAAGAAGTTTGAAAATGAAGAAAAGACATGGCCCTCAGAGCTATATGCATCACATTGAATTGATTTCGAAACTGAGGCACCCACACTTGGTCAGTGCTCTAGGACATTGCTTTGAGTGCAACAACGATGATCCAAGTGTCAGCAGTATATATCTCATATTTGAGTTTGCACCATATAAAAGTTTAAGAGGCTGCATATCCGGTATTAAAAGCTTTGAACTAGAATCTTCCTACATGCTTTTTCCTGCATTTTGTAACATAGTGATTACTTATGGAAATCAATGTTTGTATGCTTGATAAGTGCATTACAATTCGAAAGTGTCGCTGTGCGCTGACGGTCTTGTCAAATTTCTTATATTTCTTATTTTCACCTTTTAAGGAAATCAAAATTTTCTCTTAATATTTATTTCCAGCAGGACCTTCTGGAGCAAAGCTTTCTTGGGCACAGAGAATAGCAGCTGCAATTGGAGTTGTTAAAGGCATTCAATTTTTGCACACTGGGACAGTGCCTGGATTGTACTCAAATAATCTGAAGATAACAGATATTCTACTGGATAACAATCTCAATGTCAAAATATGCAGCTATAATCTTCCTCTATTGGCTGAAAATAAGACCGTGGTAACTGGAAAGAAGTTTCACTTGCTGTATGCTAAGTCTTCTCTCATTTCTGACTTTCTCTGATTAAATCTTTGCTTTCAAACTTTCAGGTGGGGAATGGAACTTTTTCCTCTGTAGTTAAAGGAAATGTTCAAGCAAGGTAAAATAATATCAGTTTCTGTTATTGCAATAGGAATTAAGACTCTGAATTGCCTTGGCTAAAAAAAAAATAATAATAAAATAAAAATAAAAATAATAAGAATAATAAATAATATAATAATAGTAAAATAAAATAAAGACTCTGAATTGCATACAACGGTAGCAAACTTCTTGGGTGTTTAAGTAATTGAACAGAGGATAACATCTTTTTTTTTTTTTTGGGACAAAGAGGACATTAGTAGCTCGGATGTATTAGAATCCTTGATTAAATCATTGTGCTTAGTGAATATGCTTCCTTCTGGACAAGTTTCTAACAACCACTTAATTCTATCTTATACTGTATATGGCCTCATTGTTGCTGATATCGTAGAATATCTCACAATGCAATCCCATTGTTTTCTTACACTACTCGTCTATCTGATCATAAAACAATAGTCAGTTGCATCGGTTAGCTGCTTTCTGGCCATTTTTCACACCTAATATATAACCTCTACTTTATAATCAATAACTTCTTGCGAAATTATTAAAAGCTAAGTTATCTTTATTCGTATCTGATAATGCTGAAATTCTTTACCTACTACTTCCAAGAAGTTAAATGAAAGAATAAAATTCTTTTTCTCTGCTTTTTGCAATTCTTTAACAGAGACTACTGTAAGCTGCATGTCCCTTCAAGCAAACTCTTCATTGGTTATATGCTTTAAACAAAATACAAAGATAATGTTATCAGTATAATTTATCTCTATCTATTACATGTAACGCTTAGCTTGTTTTGGCACTTAATTTAAGGTAGTTCAATTATTTCTTGTTGCAGGACAAAGGATGGCGATAAAAATGATGTCTACGATTTTGGTGTAATCTTACTTGAAATCATTCTAGGACGTACAATCCTGTTCCATAATGAAGTTGGAACACTAAAGGATCTCGTAAGTGTTATTTATTCTGGACTCAAAACTTTTAAGCTATATAATAAGTCTCCTTCTAGTTATAAAAAGCTTTGATCAATTTATCTTGATATTGCCGAAGTTATATATAAATCAGAAAGTATGAGCATGATATCGGCTTTGTTACTATGTTTAATGAATGTGCCAGACGCATGTTATAGATGTAGCTCTTTTTCGGAGTTTCTATGCTTCATGGTTTAGGGGCATAACGCCATCCACGCTGGAGTTTTTGGAAAGCTGCGTAGTGATGTGTCAACCTCTAGTGCTGCCACATCACCCTGATGAAGAACCGATCAAGATAAGCCTTCCCACTTGATCAGTTCGGCTAATCCTGACCAGTTTAAGTAATGTTTCACTAGTCAAGTGACAGAGCTTGACCAGACCATATTCTGGTTCCTTGTTCAATATATCGGGTTGTTTTGGTCCGTTTCTGAAAGTGTTTCATAGCGGGAGACCTAACTCTACTAATTAAGACGTAGGAAAGTAGTATCCAGTTTTAACATTGTGCTTCTGTGGCTGTTTTGCAGTTACAAGTAAGCCTAGCAACTGATGATATAGCTAGAAGGAGCATTGTTGATCCAGTAATTCATAAGCAATGTTCAGATGAATCAATGAAGAGGATGATGGAGTTATGTGTGAGATGCGTCTCAGAAGATCCTACTGATAGACCTTCTGTGGAAGATGCTCTCTGGAATCTGCAGTTTGCGGCACAGGTTCAGAATTCATGGGGAAGAGACTCCATTGATACTGGAGAATCACCTGCTTCACCTGCCCAAGAAACACAAAGTTCCTAAATTGCATGATCATAAGTACAAGGACTGAGGAACGTGTTCATATATGGTATTAAGAATGTAGTGACTTGTAGTTATGGATAAAATGATATCAGAGCGTTGAAGGACAAGTTCAGGGATGAATTTTTTATGTTTAATCTAGATGGTGTTCATATGTGAATTCTGTTTCTATACCCACGTTTCAACTCAAGCATCGCAAATTTGGGAAGCTTTTCACTAAAATAAACACACATACATACGCACTTGTAAAAAAAATGTTTTCTTTATTTTAAAAATTTATTTATAGAAAATGTAATCGTTAATTTTGATTTTGTCTAATTTTCTCACCTTGCAGTACTGTAACTACTTGTAACTTTATTCTCGTAGCATGCGCGTACCCATTCACTGTTATGTAATCATAATAATGACATGACGGTTACTAAGAGTTAGTTACAGGTCAGAGTATATAGCTATTAGGGTCAGTCCTGTTGCCTATATAAATAAACCCTTCTAATCCATTGTATGCGAAGATCATTGTGAAAATATGTGAATTGGTTCAGCCCTCTTGTCCTCCCTCTGTTTCTCTATTCTTCTCCTTCTTCGTTTCTCTCTCATATCTCTTCTTCTATGTTTATCTTTCCCTTTCCCTTTCTCCCATTCTCTCTCTTTCTTATCAACATTCTATATCATTCACACATTTAATCACATAAAGGGTTAAGATGTAAATGTACTCATCAATTTCATGAACTATGCACCAGACAGCATAATGTTTCTTTGGGCGTAAAATTGTACATAATACCATAATATTACTGTAACATCTTTATTTTTATCTAGTATTTAATTAAATTTATAAGTAAATATATTTTAGTATTAAGTTAATAAAAATCTAGATATAGGCAAATTATTATTATTATTATTATTATTATTATTATGTTTTTGTGTGTGAGTGTGTGTGTGAATGTGTGTGTAAATGATATTCTAGAAAATTATCATGGTATAGAAGTCCCACATTAGCTAATCTTTAGAGTGAAGAAGTTTGAGGAGCCTATATATAGGAGATAGTGGATGGAGCTTGAAGTGAGTAGATAATTTTCGCATATATCTGAGATAGTCTAAAAAAAGTGCTAGTTTTGAGTTTATTAACCGTTGCATCGGACTGAAATTTGGTCAACCCATTTGAGCCATTGAAATTGTTAATTTCAACGGTTGGATCGTCATTTTGATCTCCGAGTTACAAGTTATTATGTATATTTTTAACTTTTTTTTTTTAGATTTAGCATATAGAGTCTTGAATAGAAAATTAGCATTTTAAAGTTCGTTTACCGTTAGATTAAGCTATAATTTGGAGGATAGTATCATGATAGATAGAAAATTAAATTTAACAGTCAGATTAAGGGTTTAACTTCTGTAGTGAGAATAACCTGGCTCGTATTAAATCTATTTATCTAAGTCATGCGAAGATAGAACAAAAGTTATAAATTACGGTCTGTCTATTTACGTTATGAATTTGATGATTCTAATAATATAATCTAATAATTAAGAAAAATTTAGGAATCGAGTCTAAATTATATATATATTTTCTCATTCCAAACCTTAGAAAAAAGTCTTTTAGGCTAGAATTTGAGTAAAAATTAAAGCTTTTAAAGGAGGAATTAAAAGCTAGAATTTTGTGAGTAGTCTACTCTAATACTATAGGAATAACATTTTAATTTCGTTTGTAGATATAAACTCTATTGTGGCATTTTTGAGGTTGGACTTTGGTTGTATTTGACTGTTAGTCAGGAGACCAAGTAACTAAATTTCTATCTGTTGCATGCTCTAGTATGAAGTTGGTGAGTAGTTTTATAACTAATTCTATAGAAGTATATTATGATTTGTATGAACTGTCTTGTGGGATGCTATTTTAAAAAGGATTGACATAGTTTGTATTGCAAGAAATTGGTGATCATGATTATGATGTGTTATTATGAAATTTGGTTGATTATGTATATAAATATGTCATTTTGAATCCTGTGCATCTATTTTGGGTGGGGAAAGGAGATAATTGGAGTTATTGATATTCATATACTTGCCACGTGGTATTGGCCTCCATACAAAGCTCTATGGTTGGCCGCTATTACTGTCCCACTAGTTCTTCGAGGGATTGCGACACCCTACTAGTTCTTCAAGGGGGGACCCATGGTCCACCAAGTGCTCTGTAGTCTTTGGCCGGTCCACATCACTCATGTAGTGAGCTTGTCATAGTTGCCAGTCAAATGGGAAGAACTTAGCCCACGAGTCCAGTCGGCGGAAATAAGGAGGATATAAGGATGGATTTGGATTCAGGAATTGCATATGACATGAGACATTCATTGATATTTATATCTTTTAAACAAATGAAAAGTATGTTATTCCTTTTGAAATGTATCAACTGCATGAGATTAGTGAAAATATTTGTCTTATATGATTATTGTGAGTTTAAATGTTAAATAGATGTCTATCAACTGTTGTTAACTCCGTGTATCCCACCTGACACCTCACTAGGCCATGCTAGAGTGTGTGATAGGTAAGGATTTAGTTACTGAGATGTTGCCTCACTCCCGTTGCTTTATTATTTTCAGGAAACAATACGTTAACGAGACCTTCAGGGAAGACTCTTGAGACTCAATATCTGTAGCTGATAATGTAAAGCTTCTGGACCTTATTTTATGCAATCTTTTTGTATATTGCCACGCATCAGGACTGAATTCATTTGGGACTTATTTTACCTTCTCATATTTTTATGTCGTTTGACTTAGTGAACGTATTATATCTTCTATCTTTGGTTTATTTTGTCTGAACATTAGACTAGAGTGCTGGTAGTGGGCCTGAGGCCCTTAGATTGCATGTGATTGAATTATTGTGGATCCACGATGTGATAATGGCAATTTTCGCAAGTTTTGTTGTTGCTAGTATTGACTATATAGTCAAATCTGAATTGCTATTATAATTTATTGAGGCTTATTGTTTTATAACCTTATTAGCTATGATTACAGATATAGGTCATTCTTTTTCTAACTATGATAGTCTTATTTGAGGTCAAATGCTTTTCTATCATGGTTAGTCTCTTAGTAATGTGATTGCTTCATAGTGTTTACTAGTTTTATTCCTTTCTATCATAGTTAGTTCTAGCTAGTAAGTGGTGATGTTACAGTTACTTTGCATGTAAAATTGTACACAAATCTTTTTCAAATGGAACAAAAATGTAATCTCTATTAATTGTTACAAACGTCTATTACTTTTAGTTTTGGTATTGTCCATGTCAGCATAGTCAAATTCCTCTTGCTCCTTGGAGATTTTAGTCAAATATTATCTTGGGATGATGAAAATGAGAAAATCGGATATTCTTTTGCCATTTCTAGCTTTTTAAATTGTCTGAATAAAACTAATTTAATTCCAATCTTTTAGTATGGTTCAGTTTTTACTTGGACGAACAAAAGAAGGGAATCAGAAAATGTTATGAAGATACTAGATATGACTTCTTGTAACTCTAATTAGTTACAAGTCTTCCCACCTTCTCTTGTTAATACTATCCCCTTAGCTGCTTTAAACCATAACCCCATCTTATTCTCACATGAGTGCTGTACTTGGAAATTACAACCAAGAAGATTTGAAGACTTCTAGTATCACTTTAAGGAGCTCAAGACCAGTATTCATGATTGTTGGAATCATCAGGTTTATGGGTTGCCTTCTTTTAAAGTTCACAATAAATTGACCAATACTCTTTCTAACCTAATCAATTGGAGCAAATCTAATTTTAGCAATCTACCTTATCGTATTTCCCTGGCTAAGAAAAAGCTCAATGACTTATCCATGAAGATTGGTCTTAGCAGGCCAACTTCTGAGTCTCAATCCTCTCCTTTTCTTATTGTTAAACATGTTTTAGGGTTCTTGTATGAATGCGAGGCCAGCTATGGGGCCCAAAGAGCTATGGTCAAATGGTATAAAGGAGGGCAAGAAATAAAAGATATTTTCATGTGATGGTTAACAAAAGGGCGGCCTCTAATGCTATTAGGAGCTTACAAAGATCTGGTGGTAGTTGGACGTCTGATGAAAATGAGCTCTTTGATATGGCATCACATCATTTTAAAGATATTTATCAGCAGCAACCTGTGTCATCTTATGAAGAAGTTTGAAATGGGCTCTCTCATCTTCCCATACCCTCTCTATTGAATGATGATCTACAATTATTAATGAAGCCTATCTCCTGATCAGAAGTTAAAGAAGTTGTTTTTTATCTCCCACAATACTGCTTCCTAGACCAGACAGGTTTCATGCTAGCTTTTACCCCCCAAAAAAAACAAAAAACTAGGAATTAGTAGTTAAGGATATTTTTAATCTGATCTTTCATATCTAGTATTTTGAACATATCTTGAAGTCTCTAAATAAAAATACCATTATCCTTATTCCCAAGACAGATAGACCCAAACTTTTAAAGATTTCACACCCATTAGCCTTTGCAATGTATCTTATAGGATATTACCCAAAGTCCTTAGTGATCATCTTAAAAAGGTGCTTGAGGCTTATTGCTCCAAACCGATGTGCATTTTGTAAAGGGAGATCAATTTCTGACAATGTACCATTGGCAACAGATACTACATCTCATATTCATTCAGCAAGGGAGGGTAGGAAAAGACTTACGGTTCTCAAGGTAGATTTTCCAAAAGCTTTTGACAAGCTATCTTGGGTTTCATTGTTGCTATCATGAAAACAATGAACTTTCTTAACAAATGGATCAATTTGATTCAACAATGCATCTCTACTGTGCAATACCAAATTCAAATCAATGGTAAGCTTTCTAGTTTCATTTTTCCTAACTGTGATATTCGTCAAGGCGATCCCTCTCTCCTTATGTCTATATTCTCTTTGCCTATTATCTTGTATGATCTCTCCCCTTGAATCTTCAAATCTCTAGGAAGCTATTATGATTTGTTAGAGAGCTCAAGCAATCTCCCATTTGTTTTACATTGATCATTCCCTATTCTTCGTTGACAGCACTGAACAAAATCTTTGTTTTGTCAAATTGGCTCTTGGCATGTACTGTCTTTGGTCAGGGCAAGGTAATAGATGCAAGTCTTTTCTTATTTTTAGCCCCAATATATTTTACAATGCCAAGACTCATTTTTCTAAATTCCTGGGATTTCTTTTTTTCCCTCTAAACTGTATAAGTAAATTGCTTA